GTTATCTAACCTGAAACAAATTAGTGTATATTAAAGAGGAGACAGTAAGACTGCATTGAAAAGTCCATCATGAAATAGCTAATATGTGAAATGAAACAGGAGGAGATATATATTGAGGATAGAGATAATATTACAATAGCAGAAGGCAAGACGAGGAAACTGAGGTAGATTTTCAAGTGATCGAACCACTATTTGTCTATATGCAGTTTTGTATTCTCTAACCAATCATCGAGCGTGTGATTTAGGTTTATATTAAACGATATGAAATAGAATTTTCCAATACATAGTGGTCTTTGAACAAAGCAAGAACTACAGTTTTAGCAGAATAAAATGGTACCATCTTTTATTTCGTTGCCTTCTCGTCAGCTGCTTACATGGCAAAGACATTATTAAATATATCTACAACAGCAATTTTAACATACTTGCACAGAGTTAAGTTTAAACAAAAAATCAATCGATCAATATACGCATACACTAAAAATATATACATATATAAATATGCAATATTAACCACTATTCCGAACAATAATAATCAAACACAATGGGAACATTTCAGCATTTCACATTCGGAGGAAAGAGAGGTGAAATTATCCAGTTACCAGGGCAAAGAAAGGCTGATAACCGCTTCTTTCTGGACGCATAAATCAAGTTTCAGGCGCTTGATGGAAATGGCTTCAGCAAACTTAAGGAGAATGGAGCTATTTTGCTTATTGATAATTTTAAACCACTTTTCAACGTCCACCTCATGACCCGTGTCGAGAAAATGCCTGGTGATGGCGCTGTTTAAAGCATTTGTTCCCTTTAGACGTAAGCTTTTTGGTACATGTTCAGAAAATCGTAGATATGCCCTTCTTTCTGTCCTTCCAATGTAACTGCTCCCACAGATACATGTAAATTTGTATACACTGTTGGAGGTAACAGTGATGATCAACAGAAGGCTGAGTACATCACTAGCCATAGCCTATCCTGCAGCTAAGCTCATTCCCGTCTATCGAACAACTTGCTCTTTGGTGCAACCAAAAATCGATAGATATCCTTCTCATGTTACCTCCAACAGTGTATACAAATTTACATGTATCTGTGGGAGCAGTTACATTGGAAGGACAGAAAGAAGGGCATATCTACGATTTTCTGAACATGTACCAAAAAGCTTACGTCTAAAGGGAACAAATGCTTTAAACAGTGCCATCACCAGGCATTTTCTCGACACGGGTCATGAGGTGGACGTTGAAAAGTGGTTTAAAATTATCAATAAGCAAAATAGCTCAATTCTCCTTAAGTTTGCTGAAGCCATTTCCATCAAGCGCATGAAACCTGATTTATGCGTCCAGAAAGAAGCGGTTATCAGCCTTTCTTTGCCCTGGTAACTGGATAATTTCACCTCTCTTTCCTCCGAATGTGAAATGCTGAAATGTTCCCATTGTGTATGATTATTATTGTTCGGAATAGTGGTTAATATTGCATATTTATATATGTATATATTTTTAGTGTATGAGTATATTGATGGATTTATTTTTGTTTAAACTTAACTCTGTGCAAGTATGTTAAAATTGTTGTTGTAGATATATTTAATAATGTCTTTGCCATGTAAGCAGCTGACGAGAAGGCAACGAAATAAAAGATGGTACCATTTTATTCTGCTAAAACTGTAGTTCTTGCTTTGTTCAAATTCATTAAGGGGGATAAATGTATGACATAGTGGTCTGTTGATAACGCAGTATTGAACTGTGGGAATATGTGAGAATAATATTCCATTGCAACTGACTGTATGTATGTATCACACCACCAAAATATCACCATTAATAAGTCCGAATAGTATAAATGGAAAATTCGATAATACTGAATATCTGAATAAAAGGCATAAATTATAACGATTAGTAATAATAATAATAATAATTGTAATAATAAGCAAAGCAAGAGAAAAACGAAAAACAAATCCAAAGAAGATAAAGGGAAGAGGCTCTCTTGGTGTGAAGAAGAAACTTTCATGCAAATTCAGCCACGGTAGTAACAGCATCTGAACGTGTTCATTTTGGATACACAGTTTCGGTTTAGTCGATCTTATCGCAACAGCTGAGCGACTGGCAAAGGTGGAGAAAAAGCCTTTGTTTTCATGTCTACAATTCACGGAAGATACTCTTGCGGAGATTCTATCGCAACGTCTAACCAAGGTGATAAAAAACTTTCTACTCTGCTCATCTATACCTATCCTTCAGTGACCGTCTAATGTCTACCCTGAAAGATGCCTTACCTAACTTTAGCTCCTCTTCATACAATTTCTATTTCGACTTAATATTTGACAGAAATTACATTAAAATTGGGTTTAATACAACTTACCCTACTAAATATTCATCTACTTTCAGTCCTTTACTCTCTTTTCTGTTTTTACCCTTGAATCTCGAGGTAACTTGCGGAGGAATATACGAATGAGCTTGAATTTGTGTGAGTGCATCCGTTGTCTATGTTAGCGTATTTTATGTGAGGAAGTTATATTTATTTTCTGTGGAAATTAGTTGTACTTGTATATTTGTCAGTAAATTATATTTCTGACTTCATGTGCTTCGGTAGCACAGCGGTTAGGACTCTCGCTGACAATACACATGGTCTGGGGTTCGATCCCATGCCGGTGCACACCTGATATCAATGGTCGGCCTGCAAAATTTGGGCTACCGATATCACATGCTGAAAATTCCATACTTGTACCAAAAATACGGTGTGGAATCAAGCTGTAATAAAAAAAAGTGATCCCATCTACAGGGAACTATAAGAATCAAGTGCAAATATTAATCCTGACCAAAAAAATTCTTACTGGTGCCCATTCTTTACGCATTTTATCCAATGTCTTCTCCAGACTGTTTTCTTTAGTAGCAGCTTCAGAGATAGCATCAAATTTAGGAATATGTGGTTCAAGATTCATATCAATCAACTTTGCTAAGCACATGCCTTCTTCATTTCGTAGTGTATAACCAACTATTTCTGAAATTTGTACCCAATGTCTTTCACGTAAACCAGGATTGAATAGAGTACGAATAAGTGGTAGGTATTCTTTAAATTCTTCAATTTTTCCACGTACTTTTGTAGCGATTTTCCGTGGTGCAGGAAGTGTATCAAATGTTTTCTCTAGTTTAAATAAATTACGATAATGATTCCCCACTTCCAGTTCCACTTGTTCTGGATCAACTTTATCCATTGGACCTTCCATCCATTCATTAAATTTAGTAGTAAATTCTACTGCAATTTCGTATAAGCTTAAAAATGGTCTCAATAGATTTTGTACTTCATTACGTAGTGGATAAGAAGTTGTATCCCATTTTAAGGCTTCTTCATCTGCATTAAAACCATCAATTTTAGTTAATGCAGTGTCTAATTTTGAATTCAGTACTTGAGCTTTCTTTAAATACCGATGTATTTCATTCATATCACCGAAGGCTTGAAATTCATCAACTTGTTTTCTGTATGATTCTAATTCTTCAATAAATCGTTCACGTTTATACTTTAAACTAATTTCAAATTCTTCACGTTTCATTTTTGCTATACGTCGACTTTCCTCAAATACATCTGTCATACGTGTATGCCATTCAAATACTTGACTATTAATACGCATATCAGATGGATTCAATTGAGCATGATCCATAAGAAATATTAAACGATCCTTAGAACGATCCAGTTGACGTTCTAAATCGTGCATAGTAACTTTTTCTGTTTGATTGACAAAATCAATAATATGCATCATATGTGCAATATCAGATGGGACTGTTAATGCTTTAGCACTAATAAATTCATATTCTTTAATTAAACTAATAAAGAGAAAAAAAATGAAAAGAAAAACAAATAGGAAAATTGTTATACTGTTTGACCTTTACAGATCATTAGAAGCCTCCAGTATAGTTTAGCGTGTTCATAAATTGAAATCTGGTTTTAAAACGCTGATTCACATACTTTTGTGACCACACAACAAGCATTAATAGTTTGTACATTATCAAAAGAGATTTGATTAACCTCTTCCTAACATTCTTTTTGAGTTCCAAATGGAACTTAGGGAAGGCTTCGGACTTTTTTAAGTTTTAGTAGCCCTTATGTTATTTTTACGGGGTGAAACAGCTAGCCTCATGCTAGCTTTCCCTCGTTTTCAGACTTACTACTACCACAGAGCTAATTAGGAGTGTGTTGACCGGGGAGTCGAATCCCGGACTATGTGTGTGTGCGTAGATAGCAATGCACAATGGTTATTCTATAATGCTTAGATATTTCATATATTTATTCCCCTTAATGAATTTGAGTAAAGCGAGAACTATAGTTTTTGCAGAATAAAATGGTACCATCATTTATTTCGTTGCCTTCTCATGGACTGCTCATAAGCCACAGTCATTATTAAGTATATCTTCCGAACAACAGTGATCATACACAATGGAAACTTTCGGCATTACGTATTCAGATGAAAAAGAGATGAAAATATCCACTTACCAGGATGGACAAGAAAAGACTGATAATTATTTCTTTCTGAACGCACAAATCAGGTTTCAGGCGCTTGATTGAGATGGCTTCAGCAAACTTGAGGAGAATTGACCTCTTTTGCTTATTGATAATTTTCAACGATTTTTGACGTCCACCTCATGACCTGTGTCAAGAAGATGCTTGGCGATGGCAATGTTTAAAGCATTTTGTTGCCTTCTATAGATATACTTAATAATGACTGTGGTCTCTGAGCAGATGACAACGAAATAAATGATGGTACCAACTTATTCTACAAAAACTGCAGTTCTCGCTTTATTCAAATGTTTAGACAGTCATTTAGGAAGTAGATATATCTCGCCAAACTTCACTTGTCTATTCGCTGTTTTTCACTCTCAGAGATTGTCTATATTGGTTAAAATAAAACAGCTGGAGAACAACTTCTCATTATAAACGCTATGAAAGATATTTATGTTTCATAACTAGCATTTTTGTTGTCGTGATAAAAAGGTTCATAGTGTAACAACAGAAGACAAGGGCCAGGCAACAGATCGTTTTATTATGAAAATCAACACGTATTTATACATCTTTCAACTACATTATTATAGACAAGCGCAGTCATCTGATTGGTTGTTTAGGTAGACAAACGCAGGCTTCTGATTGGTTGTTTCGGGATTCCTTGACAAATGCGAATCATATTTTGCCACGTTAACTTTGCTGTGATTGGTTGTTGACTCAGGCTTGTTCATATTTTCTCACGGCCCATATTAGTGACCTAGACCTTAACGTAGATTAGTGCCAACCAATCGGCTAGCAGCCTGCTCTCACCACACTCGTCCCCCCGTCAAATACGTGCGACTGAAGTCGGCTTGATCTACTTGGTGCAGGCGTCATCGTTGGCTTGTCTCGCTGTATCCATTTCTGGAGCTCGCTGACGTTCACGCGCCTCTTATTGTTCGCCATTGCGACTGTGTCTGCGTAACCCCATCTCGAAGTGACCATATATGGTCCTTCCCACTTTGGAAACTGTTTGCCTGACCCTGTCGAACATTCGTCCATACTTCGGCCCACACCTTCATATGCTGCTTTCGCCCGACCTCCCAGCAGCGTCTCAAGTAGCAGCTCCATCGCTGACAGATCTTGAACGCCACTCAACTGCGCAGAAGCCTTGAAGTCCTGCCCGAAGATCCATATGTCTCCATCAAAAACTGCAGGGTATAGGCTTTTCATTTGTCGGTAGGCAGCGACACCAAATGTAACAACAGAAGACAAGGGCCAGGCAACAGATCGTTTTATTATGAAAATCAACACGTATTTATACATCTTTCAACTACATTATTATAGACAAGCGCAGTCATCTGATTGGTTGTTTAGGTAGACAAACGCAGGCTTCTGATTGGTTGTTTCGGGATTCCTTGACAGATAGAGTTCTCTCTGCGAATCATATTTTGCCACGTTAACTTTGCTGTGATTGGTTGTTGACTCAGGCTTGTTCATATTTTCTCACGGCCCATATTAGTGACCTAGACCTTAACGTAGATTAGTGCCAACCAATCGGCTAGCAGCCTGCTCTCACCACAATAGTACTTGCGTTATAAGTTCGGGAATAAAGTAATGTAGTAAAGTTGTATTTGTAAGCTGAAAACTCATTTAAAAGCATCTTTAAAACAGTCATATGTCATCCAAATTAATGTGTTGAATTTTAATTCTCATGAGTGCTGAAGTAAAGATGAACTGTAGAGAGGTCAGACTACAGAGCACACCTATTTCTGTTAGATTTTTGGATAAGGTTTTTAATATTGGTGGTAATAGACTTTAAATAATGAGATGACATTCAAAATAAGTATTAAGTGTTCACACATATAACCTTTTTATTTTGCTTTAATAATTGAGTCTCTGTTATAGCTATATTCATTACTTATTGATACAAAGAAATAAATATATATTGCATGGAGGATTTAATCATGAGCTGACATCAATTAGAGAACCACTGGAAAACAAGCCGGGAGTACTGGACAGCTGTTTCGTCCTAGTTTGAGACTCTTCAGCAGTACGCACCCACAGGGGTTTCGAACCCAGGACCTTCTGGTTACAAGGCGAGCTCGTAGACCATTGAGCCACTGGGACCCGATCCAATATACGAGCTCGCCTTGTAACCAGAAGGTCCTGGGTTCGAACCCCCTGTGGGTGCGTACTGCTGAAGAGTCCCAAACTAGGACGAAACAGCTATCCAGTACTTCCGGCTTGTTTTCCAGTGGTTCTCTAACTGATGTCAGCTCATGATGAAATCCTCCATGCAATCAAACAAAATTCCTACAAAACCAATACTTGAAAATATATATACATCAAAATGACAAATAGAATCAATAAACTATTCGCTTTGACTCTGTTTTCATCCCGATAGTGAGTTAATACATTTTGAGTGATCTCTTCTGGCAAAATCCCCTAAAAAATAGCATATAATCATTATGAATACGTATATTGATTTTATCTTTGATTGTGTGGTTGTCTCCTTTTATCTATTTATCGATTTGTTTATACAAATTCTCCTATTAATGTATTTGAACAAAGACAAAAACAGATAGAGGTATTATCAGATAGATTTACATGAACTGTGATCAAGATTTGACCAAAGAGTCCAACGATATTTTGTCGACTAGTGAAAAATAGACATATGTGGAAATTTGCAATAAGTTGTGTTCTCTGTGCTGGTTGGTATAATTGCAGAGCTTCCGTCATTCTTCAGCGCAAGTTTTACCATAAAATGAACTGATTTAAATTCTCCATGAATGATAGAATAGCGTCTCCGCAATTAAACCAACCAGCTCACAGAACACAACTAATTGTAAATCATCAACCTGAGCTACAAATCTTCTCTATTATAAGTGGAAATTATATTTGTAAAATCTCAGAGAAACTGAAGTGTCCTTGTGCATCAGACTTTTGTGATCATGTTTTTACTAAAGACTACAGAATGGTTTTGGTTCATATAAAGAACTCTTGAAAATAATTCTGATGCTCACTAGTAACTTGCTACAGGACAGAGTTTCCTGGAGTTCTAGTGAGAAGTCGTGACCAGTGAGGTCCATCCAGTCAAGTACGTGAGGATAGATGTCCAACCGGTGACAGTGTTGGGTGGTCGCACTAAATCACGAATTAATAGAAGTTAGAATTCATGGGATGGTCATTAAGTCGGGTCCCAATGGCTAAATGGTATGCGAGCTTACCTTGTAACCGGAAGGTCCTGAGTTCATAATGTCGATGGTTTCCAAACTAGGATGAAACAGCTGTCCCTGGTTTTCAATGGTTTTCTAAATGATATCAATCCGTAGTCAAATAATGACTGTAGAGGGTAAATCGCAAACGTTTGTACAGCCATGATGGTGTGATGCTCGCTGATGCATTAAAAGTCTTGATTAATAAATAAAATAGGTATTTATCACTAATTTCTCAGGATTGCTCTATTTTTTTAATTTCAGCTTGATTCCACATCGTATTCTTTTGGTACAGGCATGGAATTTTCAGCATGTGATATCGGTAGCCCAAATTTTGCAGGCCGACCATGGATATCAGATGTGTGTAGGCAGAGGATCGAGCCCCGGGCCATTTGCGTGGTCGGCGAGAGTCCTAACCACTGTGCCACCGACGCATTATTATTATACATATACCTTCTTATGGAAAGGTTAACAAATGATTTGCAGTTGTTCTCTCATGCTCACACACTACTGTATATCGTTGATTCCATCTCATTGACAGTTGATATGATGCGTCGGTAGCACAGCGGTTAGGACGCTCGCCGACCATGCACATGGTTCGAGGTTCGACCCCCGGCAGACTAACTCCTTTACTTCGCTAAGCCAGAATAAATGCTGGTAAAGAGAAAAGGTTGGGCATGAGGCTAAGAACCCCATCCTGTAAAAATAAACACTTCTGTAGAAACTGCAAGCCTTCTAGCTTGAAGCCCTATGTTTCACTAGAAACGTGAAGGAAAAATTATTGTTATTATTTACAGTTAATATGACCGAGTGGACTTATGCATGGGTATAATAATACTGGTGCAACAGACAACACAACTGATATGCTAAATATCCCTATTCGTCTGTGGTAGCTTCCAAGTCACTGAGCCATGTAAATATCAAAAAACAAAGACTGGCCTGTGACTATCAGGATACACCTTTATTAGGAAGAAATCACATCATATATACGTATTTTTAACCACATTAAAATCTGTCTATGGTGATGGAAAATCGATTGTTCCGATTGGTAGATGATTTGGCTAGTTCCACGGAAAACGAACATTCTGATTGGTTGACGATTGAATCAGGACCAATGTAGGAAAATGATGGTGAAATTTTACAGTCAGTCTAGGTCATCCAATCACAAGATGATTCCTTATTTTAAGCCGATTCCTATCAATCACATTTATACATATAATATATGTTAAAACGATTAGTCCCTTTGATAAATTGGAATAAGGCATTAAGAAGACAAATTTCGCGAGATGATATCATTTAGTATATACATATACATTAGCTAATGGTTATCCAGAAAACTTTATCAGTTGTCACAGTAAGGATAGACCATATCTTGAAAAGACAGCTTCTGTACCAAAGAAAGCTATCTTTATTAACCTACCATTAAAGGATGGCCAGATTATGCAGTTGACAGCTCAAAGACTTCGGTCAGCCATCAAACGCACATTCTACGCCACATCTCTTTTTCTCATTTGTCGAACATTTTCGATCCCCGTAACTTCAATTAGAGGACAAAATTCTGTGGACTCTACTTCAAACTGTATCTAAAAGTTCACTTGCAGTTGTGGTGATACCGATATACGTGGAACCAATAGAATGTTCCAGTGTCGTCGAAAAGAACATGTTCCAAAATGGCTAGTAAATCATACAGAAAATCCCAATGCAACTAATCCGGATAGAAATCCAACACCATCCATTGCAAAGCACTTATTAATATCAGGTCACAAAGTCAATATTAATGACGATTTCACAATTATTTCGCATAACTCTAATTCAAGGTTATCGAAGGTGATGGAAGCAATTTGGGGCTTAATCACATGCATCATAAACTATGTGTACAGAAAACAATAGACTTCAACCTTCGCCTACCATGGACTACTTGACCTACTTAAATATGATTGCTCATTAGTATGTACTTTTGTTTTATATAACTGAGTAATTGTCATGCTCTTTATTCTTAACCATATTAGATGTAAAGCGGTTGTAAAGAAACTACGAAATGATATCACCTCGCGAAATTTGTCTTCTGAATGCCTTATTCAAATATATATATATATATATTTGACCAATTTTGCTGAACGCAACGTTGGAATTAATTATTTCAATTTCTCTGAGATTTGACAAATATAATTTTTATTTTATTTAATTGGTTGCTATTTAATCACATAAAACTATCAAAGTATAATCAATTGGTGGATGGTGCTTAGCATTGGAATTGACGATTTGCATTTCGTCCTATTCGGGACTCATCATTGGATGCCCCTATGTTTAGATAGAAAGGAGATTTGATGGTATTAGATTTTTTTTATTTTTGATTTACAGCTTGATTCCACACTGTATTTTTGGTACAAGTATGGAATTTTCAGCATGGATCACATGCTCTTATGTTACCAAAGTAGTTGATTTGATAACAAGGAGTATTTAGTATTCTTAAAGAAGTGATATGAGCCCCTTTAGTAGGAAGAGGCACAATATAGTAGATAAATTCACTAGTATAATAGATACAGGAAAGTAGACACTGTAAAACCTGTCGTGGTAATCAACAGGCATAATAATGCAAGTTTTCTTAGGTTTTTTTGAAACTAAAGACGTCAAAGGGATCACATTTACGACCAGACAGAAGTAGTGAAATAGTCTTCTCGTTCTCTACCGAGTCAGTTTCTTAAAAGTATTCAAAAATATTGATCAAGGAGTGACTAGTAGTTAATTTTATATGTGCTATTTTGAACAAAAGTCTTTGAGAAGATTTATGTTAGTGACATTCAAAATGTTTACGGAAGCATGAGAAGGAGTAATCTGAGAAAGACTAACTGACCAAAAGGTGTATGGTAATTAAAAGACTAAATGTATGGTAATTTAATGCATTCAAACCAACTGAAGGAAAAACTAAAAATTATATATATATATATATGTCGGAGTGAAGCTTAATTCGTGAATTACATAGTCAAACAGAATGGATAGATAAGAAAATGAGTTAGCAGAAAAAAGGAAGACTGGCGATTTGCTTTTATTTTAACACAAATCTGACCT